AATTTTTATACAATAAAATAAACTGTTTCCAGACTTTAGATACCAATTTTCTCTTGACCTAATATATAATCAGCTTAAGTAAGAATAAACAAAACAACGACAATTGCATTTAACAATGCAACTACTCACATACCAATTTCAAATACTGTAATAAATACCAGTTGCTGATTATTTAAAATAGGTACATTCTTGACAGTGTGTCCGAATTAATTACAAACTAATACTATAATATATCATTATTACGGCAGATTTTTGGAAGCTAACCTTATTCAAAATCAAATACCTTAATTATAAAACTTTTGCATTACTCATTTTAAATATTAAACTCTGACTGATTTTCTAAATTTTGGTTGTTCAACTAATCTATCTGTAAATTGTATGATCATACCATATTGGGATTTTTTGCTAAAAATATAATACAGAACAATAATTTTATATTGTGATAAAAAGAACAGTTCAGAAATCATTTGTGCATTACTATAAGAAAATGAGACTTCAGACTTCAATCCAATCATTTATTATTTATAAAATTCAGCTCGTGAAAATCTGATCAGATATACATATAAATACATGTCATAGATATTATTATTATATTATCAGGTTTTTAAAGTCAAATCTGGTAAAAATAAATTATAAAATTGTAAGATTACTCCTCTCATTTATAATAGTTCATCAATCGGAATAACAATTTATTATTTGTCTAATTTTTATTTAATAATGTAACTCACTATTCCATACTTAAATTATAATTTAAAAATTTTCCAGATTACAAGAAAAATATCTTTGCTAAGACAAAATGCTTGTTTCTTGTGTAATATTTTACAATAAGATTTTGAAATCTGCTTTGAGCTGTATTGATCTCTAAGCCTAAAAAATGTGGGATAATCAAAATTGTGATTACAGTATGGAACAAAAATAATATGGTAAATGGTGTAGAATATTAATTTAAAAAACTATATATACCATACTAATCACCGATCACTATGCCAAGCTCATGAGATTATTATTAGTTATGACCCATAACTAGAGATGGGTTTTATGCGTGCACATGAAACCTCAATCATGCGCATTTTATCCCATCAAGATTTTATATAGAAAAATTAAAATATAAACTAGCCGCTTGAGTTGCTCAAAGGGAGTTTGAAATGAGTATGTATTGTATTATTAAATAAATCCTTTCTTCTTTAGGAAATAATGAGAGATTTGTATCAGGATAGGATAAATATTTATGCATTTCTGATTAGTATATATGATTTTGCTTATCTTTAAAGGGTACTATGTTCTTGAAACATAGGGATGAGGTGCCAGACAAAACTAATTCGTGATATGTATATAAATAAGAGTATATGTCAATTAAAGTCCATTTAGATTAAAACATAATAACTACACTTAAAATCTAACCTCATCCTGACTCTTGCTCTTAACAATATAAAGCATCTTAAATTCTCTTTCCAATTACAATAATTATATCACTTAGTCATGTCAACAATAACGGTATTCAATACCTTTATTCTACTTTTACTTTCATTTATAGGCTATATTATTTATCTTGTTATAAAGTATCCGGATAATGCTGTAGGAACAAATTATAGGAAAGACATTTCTGGACCTAAGGGGGTTCCTATATTTGGAAATTTATTCAGATTTATGTTTAAAAAAAATACTTATATTGAACTCGAACAAGAATGGGCAAATAAATATGGTTCACTTTAGTATTTATCAAGTTTTTTAAAATAAATATTTATTAAAAAAATATTAATTTCGATATTTATTAATATTATTTTCTTATTTTAATAAAAAAAAAAATAGCACATTTACAATTTTTAAAAATAGACAAAGTATTGTCTCAAATGATCCACAAACAGTAGAATATGTTTTAAAAAGTAAGTATTCTAAATCAAGTATTAATATAAATAATTTTTTAATATGTATTAATTAAAGTTTTATGTTTTAAATTAAGCGAATTTTGAGAATTTTCAAAAATATTCTATCTTTATCAAAATATTCCATGATTTAATTGGTGATGGAATATTTGTAGCCAATGGGTTGGTATCTTAGTGAATTATTACTTTTTAGCTAATTATTATAATACTTTTTTTTTTTTTTTTTTGAGTTAAGGAGACCTCTTTGGCCTGAAAGCTTTTATTAAGATTTGAAACAGTGTTTTATACATAATTACACGATGGTACATCAAGCCACATATGCACCTTTTGAGTGCCTAATTTAAGTAGTCCGCCTGAAGGTTCTACACTATCTGCCATACCTGCACCCCAACTAGGGGAGTGCCCATTTAAACCATCTGGTTATAACTACCA